AGCCGAAGACATATACAACAAACGCACTTTTTCCGGCAAAACAGTACCATTTGAAAACCTTCCTTTCAAAATTTCATCCAAAGTAGCAGGAACTGCTCTGTAATTAAACATGCAAAAAAGTTTAACTGTTACGCAATGAGCCTAAGTAGTATAATAATCAAAAGTAATTCTAAACTTACGCAAGGTTATTTTATCATTTTCCCAACTCCTCTCTTAAGCGTTTGCTCTTTTAATACCGGATCTCATTTCGTCAATAAACAAATGAACGAAGAAGAGTTTGAACAGATAAAGAGTTTAATTAATATCGTGAAATTATTTAATACAAGATCCGGCTAACAGCCATTAACCGGCACTTCAATCGCCGTTCCAGTCAAAATGTCAAAATTTCACTTACGCAATAACACTTTTATGGAAGGCAGGATCATAATTGTCTTTTTTTAAATAAGACAAATCAGATTGAGAGAAATGAAAAAAATCTGTATTGACCATAATATGTTTTAAGTGTTTCTCGTAATAAAGGCCTCTGAAAATTATTGGAAAATGTCACTTATNGGCAGGATCATAATTGTCTTTTTTTAAATAAGACAAATCAGATTGAGAGAAATGAAAAAAATCTGTATTGACCATAATATGTTTTAAGTGTTTCTCGTAATAAAGGCCTCTGAAAATTATTGGAAAATGTCACTTATTGAAATCAGTTGCATATACATTAAATATCAGTGACACGAGCAAGAATCACCTCCAAGAACCATTTTATTCATTTATTATCATGAAAGATGATTTAAACAAATAATTTCTGGTATGATGAGAACCCTAACTACTAGAATGAAATTTCACTCATGATGTATTACTAATTGCGAAGTTCAAACTATAAGATATGAAATTATTGATCAACATATAAAGGAATTAACTCCCACTGCAAAATAACTTTGAGGAAGTCTTCCAAACAACTGCCCCTACCACTGCAACTAATCTCTTTCTGATGATAACTTCGCACCAGTTAAGTATCTTCGACAAGAGTTTGAAAAAGATTATATCTTTGCATTCGTTCAATGAAGCTAAACAATACAAAAATTCGTCAATTTCAAAGAAAGGATGAGAAAGCACATACTTGCTGACACCCTTTTTGCCTCTCAAACTGATACCCGTACGTGATATTTCAGGTCTAATACATACTCGTCCTTGACGTTGAGCTGGTTCACGCATCCAATCATCCCAGAATGTTTCGGGCCACTTTACTTTCAGTTCTTCCCATAATTGTGATGTCAGCATCCAACCAAGACCTGAAAAAGGTTTTTCTAATTTCGAAGGGAAATAATAAGAACAGCAACAATAATAATATTAAATTCGAAGAATAATTCGCTTCGCTAAATGCATAATGGACTACTTCCATATCTTGAGCGATAATCGAAATAGTACCAATCAAAAATCATGAGGGAAGGAAAAAGATCCATTAAGACTGCAATGACAATCTTCTGCAAACATAGTAAACAACCTGGAAAGAAATCAGTCCGATGCAGCAAAGAGTTATTCTTCGCAATGAGTTCTTTCTTTCCGTTATCGTTCCATGCTGATATACACCAAATTGTTGGATCTTCGAATAACAACTTTCTACTTGCCAACATATATTCCAGAAAATCCGGAGCCAGTAGTAAATCGTCTGAAAGTTATAAAGGATAAATAAGAAGACTGTATACTACTTTAAATAACTAGCGAAACAATCGAAAATTTTGAGTACTGGAAATGATTGTTCACAAATGAGATGAGCAGTTATATTTCGCCAACAAACCTTTAGAGCATCAATGAAAAGTAGCATACTAGATAAGCTAGTTTCTTGATTTTTTCTCATTGTATATCAGAAATCCTTATCACCAAGTGGCCCACCAAATAAACTTCTCAGCTATTCCTTAAAATTTTATTAACTTATTCATGCATCTTGTTTCGACCACAAACTGACATTATAAAAGAAATACCAATTCCCAATAATTATTTCTTTTTAACCAATAACTATAGAATTCAACCTTCGGTAATAATAGCACTTTGATATTTTAAGATGCCGAAGACATAATCCAGGGCGAAATGATAGTGTCTCGCAATTCGATAATAACCTTCATATTTTCTTTTCTGTTTAGTTAGATTGAATGGAGATTGGTCCGGATTTTCTATTAGAGTAATATTATGGCCGGCATTAAGGATAAGATCACGTATTACATCATCATTGCAATCAAGACTGACAACAATCGGAATCTTGGGTCCTTTTAAACTGAAAATATGAGAAATCATTTTTATTAATGTGATACTTGTGATCACTTTTACTACTTTGATTATAAAGAACTCTGAAAACCACTAGATGTCTATCAACTGCTTCTTTTCAAGTAGCTATTTGTAATACTACGTGCAATAATTAAAAAGTGATTTCTAGTACGATATATGCCAACACGCAGCACTGTTATTTTAAAAAATATGTAATTCGTCATTATATGTTGAGATGACTAACTAATTTTAGATTAAATCTGAATTCAGCAAAAAAAGAGAGCCAATTTTAAAACTCTATTCGCACGATTCAAAAAGTTTGAAATGCATATAATAATAAGCATCATTACACACTTAAACTTTCTCGTCTTTTTTCATTTGTTTCGTTGTACTTCAAGAACGAATCTTTCTACCAAAAAAAGGAATACCACGGAAAAAGATGTGCAAATGATCATAATCATAATAATTCACAAAGTCTTTGTAAACGTTGCGTCCTACCACGTCCTCGGATTTTCGAAATGAAAGAGATTACAACTACGTAGTTTTCAGTGCTTTCATAAACATTAATATGTCTTGAGATTTTTAAGAACAACAAACTTTTTCAATGATTCGAGATGTTCCTTCAACGCCTCAAAACGATTACAGGCAATTGTCAAAATGACTGTTTCTAAACGATGTTCTTTATCCAAAGCATTTCGCACCCGTTGCAAATCGTTCGTTAAACGACTTACCACACTTCGAACGTACCACACTCGTTCGCTAAACGACGTACCACACTTTTGCAAATTTAACAGTTGCCGACGATACTTCAAGTCGTCGTCCAGCTTATATCCCTAAAAGTTAAACTTTATGATAGAAAAGAAGGAAATCTAGAAACCCGAACGAAAATGAAACTATTTTTCCTCAAATGTTTTCTTTTCACGAGTGAAGACATCACACGGATATGTCCATGTAAAAAGTTTAACTCGTGGAAAGAAAATATGGCACAATTTCAAAACGAAAAGAAAAATGATATTGAAGACCAACTTGACAGAGATCAGTCCAGCTTAGAAAACTTTGCAATTTTAATTAATTCTGAAGTTCGGATTATTTTGATTTTAAAGCAAAGAAACAAATTGATAAAAAGCATTCTTCCTCAGCGTTGTACTGACTTTATTTAATATTGTTCTTTTATTCTTAGAGAAATCAAAATATAAGATGAGCTCTCACAAAACATATCAGGCAACCTAATCCAAACCAATGAAATGAAGTGCTAGCTTAAAACAAAGTTGAAAGTCAAAAATGCAAAGCATTACCACAGTATATGTTGCGATGCTGAAAATAAACTTGGAAACAACCAGTGCCCCAACAATAATAATAACGTAATAAACGAAGGAACGAATTCTGCGCATTCTGATCCAATAATAATTTCATCTTTCCTGCCAGTTTTAAAATATAAATGTGTCTAAAAATACAAGAAATAATACAACACTAAGTGCTGAAAATTTTTGAATCTTACTAGCAATATAAAGTAACTTGAATAGAGTCATTGCTTCCTTCAATATTTGGATTATTAAGGTATCCAGTAACTTTGCTCAAATTTTCTCTTCTTATTAATAAGCATTTCCTTTACTACAGTTTTTAGCTATAATGTATAAATTGATACGTACCACTGTCTTGCTCATTTTTTCGCCTTCCGTTATGGCAATCACACTTATCATTAGTATGTATCATTCCCAAGCTGTTAATTGAATCTACTGTTGTATATGTTATATTTCCAAAATGTTTCAATGTTAAATGATAACTCTGACTGATGATAACTCTGAGGATAATAAACTGACTGAAAAAATAATATGGACGCATCAATATGTGACGCGAACGTAAACGTTAATGTGTGAATATACAGTAATACACTGACAACATACAAACAATGAAACAAACTACTAACGATGAAATAGTGATAATGTTGCAATCTTCAATTCTTCAGATTACCACTGCAACCTATAGCATATAATCTAACTTGAGGCTTCAAGTAAGCAGTTACAACTAAGATAAACAATACACCGTTAAGTCAGAATTTCCGACAACTTCCTGAAATGATGAAATAGAGGAAGACTAAAACTGAATAAGACGGGAAAAGTAAAGAGCAAATGATGGAAAAGCAATATAAACAAGACAAGATAGCGTAAATATTCACCCCTTGATCCATTGTAATGATTATTTACATTTATTCATGAGACAAAAGGATGCATAGTGGAAGAGAATCAAAGATTACGGCATATATCAAATAGTAGATGAGAAGATGAAAGTATGAGGGAAAATAGCACTGCAATGAGAACGACCGGTAAATTTACAACTATTCACAACAACTGAGATTGTGAAGACTTGCTCGGCTAAAAATTAACACTCGGTGACAAGTAGAATCCTCCCCCAAAATTTCCCCATCTCAAGCTCCTTCTCGGTATTTCACGATGGGCCGCGTCAAAAGTTTACTATAATGGTGTGAAGTAAGTTTTGCTCTTGTGCGGAAGGGTTTGTTATACCTCAGAGTGCGTCTGGATAATGTTTCGTATCCATCAGACGCGTTTAACACATGAGAGACGTATTTGACTCCTTCATCATAGCATTAACTATTTTTTTACTCGATTCTTTGCCGAATTTAATGGGATATTTAATATATGCTATTTTTACGTTTTAGCTTGATTTTTAATTGTGTTAAGGAATTCTGTTACACAAAATAATATGAATTTTTGGAAAGCTTAGTGCATTAAATAATCAGACATTTAGTGTGATGGGATATCATATTTCGGCGCAACATATGTTATTTAGGAGAGATGAAGATGGTTTGCATATGAAGTTATTCTATCATGTTGTTCATCTAAAGATTAATCGAATGATTCATGATACGTATCTTAGTAAACAAAATATTCGAATTCACATCATAGGTAAAAATGTCGCAGACGTTTGGTCAGCGATCAGATTTTGACTTTGATGATGGTTTTGAACAAGAGGAACGTGAAAGTGATGATTCATTTGAGGAAAATATTCGCAAACAGTTGCTGGAATTTAGAAGCGGTACCGATAGAGGTAATATTTTTTCTTCATTTACCAGATCGTTTTTAATTAGCATCATTCAATCAGTAAAAAGGGTAATATTATAATGTGTAGCGCAAACAAATACGATGTTGAGTGTAACATTATTGAATGTTAGAGGGGAAATGTGAAATAGCGAAAGAGGGAGAAGTGTTTGCATCTTTGTATGGAATTTTATTTAGCTGTTGGGAATATTGTTATCATGCTAAACATAAGTTTAAAGGAGTTCGTGATTTGTTTTTATTTCACTTTTTTTCTAGAAATCATTCTCGAGCCGTTATCAATTGAGAAAAGAAAGATTGTGCATTGTATAGCCATGAATTGCAGTTTGAAGTCGCACAGTATCGGGTAGCATTATTTACCACTGTTTTTTATATTACCATCAATCATATTAGCATGAATAGCGATTATCCATGAAATGAAATTTAACTGAGCTCAAGTGTCAGAGCTTGTACGTATTAAGGTAACGACGATAATTGAGATGAAAATTTTGCTTTTGACAATATTGGTTGAATCAATTTATTTAAATATTTCAGAAGCGGATGTAATCGTCGCGTTGTAGTGACACGTTTCCCACATGTCGATCTGTGTACCTACACTAATGCTAGGGATTCAGAACCGATTGTTTTGAGTGTATTTCAGAAACGAGCATTATCGCGTTTCCTGACTATATTTCCGTTAGGTTATGGCGATATCGACTTGTATCTTCGATCCGGCAATGCAAGTACGTTTATTCGTTCCTTCCTTTTCATTAAGGCACTGTTTCTATTAATACGTTATGTAAATCTGTTTAATGTTCTTGCAATGTAGTCGGCATGTATTTACGTAATACCGAATAATTGTATAAGAAAGAATAATAGCAAAAGTGACATTTTTAAAATTCATCTCACATCACTTGAATACAATTCAATAAATTTTTCGTCTAATGATAAGGAAGGAACATATTGGATAACAATCAATTTTAATATAACCTGAAATATGTCTTGTTCAAATTTTCTTTCGATTGCAAATTTATTAACTCAAGTTACTCAGTGCTCAGCAAGCATAACAGTTTAAGTTTTCCTCTAATAAAGCATGTGATGGGCAATATGCATTTTTCCATATCGCCTTTTTTGACTTGTTTTATTTAAAACATTTCTCTTTACTCTATATTTTTGTGTAGTTGTTGTCACAGTTTTGATATTTTTCAACGTTTTATTTATGTCAAACTGTCATTTCTATTTTATTTGTTTTTAGGCCGACAAATTAATGGTCGCTGTCATGCAAGTTTTAACAAACCAATGTTGGTTCCACCCAGTCCGTCAGTACGGCATGCAATGGAGAACTTCCGCAGAAGTTTGCCGACTTATGCAATGAGGGAAGAAATCTTGAAAACTATTCGTAATCATAAAGTAACAATGATCGTTGGTGGAACTGGATGTGGTAAGACAACACAGGTAGTTGTTTCTTAATGATGACTGGATCTTGTGCATAAATCACTCATAGTAAATATTTTCAGTAAGCGCAGAACCTATCTATTCACCGGATTTCCTTTTCCGTGTTTTTAACAGGGCAGGAATTTAAATGTGTGGCAAAACTATATGTAGTGCCAGGAGAAAGGAGAGAGATAAGGAGACCGAATGTGGAAGAAAATTTAGGGTGCGATGTATACAGCATAGTGTTACATTTTTTCCTTCCGAAAAAATTATAATGCGTGGATAGAGAATGAATCTTAGTCTATTTTTTTTTAATTGTACAAGACTTTCTATAATGTAGTATGAACTGATGAGGTTGCTTCACGTTATTTACAATTCTATTATCCTGAACGTTGTCAGTGGAATCAGGATCCCAACAGATCCATTGCGAAGTGTTGTTGCCTGGCTGTAGCGCAAGTGGAAAAAAGAGTGATTTCAATGCTGACAGAGAATAATTTCATCCACTTGAAATGAATACAGAAGAGACGAATAATTTGGTAATTTAAAGGAGAACAGTATAATGCAGAAATCATCCCTTTTGAAAATTTTGCTTCTATTGAAAAATGAGGAATTCGATCTCGTATCTCGGATAGCCTCCATTATTTCAGTAGTTCTCAGTAGAAGAGAATAATTATTTAATTATCGAGATCTGATGTGATTAATTTTGGGTGACGCGATGTGAGACGTTGTGCGAAGTGGTTGGTCGAGGAATAGATCATTCGGCTGGTATTGAGGTTCATAGTAGAACGGTACATAAGTAAGAATTAAATGTTTTCAAGCGTTTCCTTTTTTTGGATGGTATACTTTAAATTATCTACAAATTTTGCTTTGTTTGAGTATTTGTTTATGAATAGAGAAGAGGTGAAGCTTTGGGTTTCTATGGAAAAATCATTTGGGCATCACTGTCAAAGGCAAAGAGAATAGTTTCTGACATGTTACAAATTCTTTCCGTTGATGATAACAACTTCAGTTATTCGAAAGGAAAATCGATAGGGAGTCGGAAATTTGAGTCTTTTGCATACTAAATGTGAACGTGTAATATATCAGTTCAATCTAAGGTCAAGAAAATAATTCCATTTTGAAAGAAAGATTGGCATAACGATGATAACATTGCTGAAAGAAATTTTTGATATCACAGTCAATTCTGGACCGTTTATTACATGTTCTACGAATGAGTGTATTGTATAGAAGATAGTAGAGTTACTGATTATAAGTGTGAAAAGACATAAATAATGGGAATGATTACTCTTCCTTCGTACATCACATAGTATTTCTTGGAAAATGATTACTCTTTCTTCGTGCATCACATAGTCGTTTTGGACTTTTCATTTCGAATGATTTGCAGTTTGGGCTAAAATATGAAAACCAGCACAACACTGACACGATCGGTGGAAAGCATGATTCGGTGATTTTTTTGGGATAAGCAAATGTGATGAGAATCGAGCATTAATTTAATTTCTGTTTTTTTTTGAGATATTGACATATTAATTTTCAGTTTTATTGAGGAGTTTTAGGCGTTGCGATCTTTGAGATTGGATACCCATGCAAATACTAGCATTTAAAATAGTCTTTGGTAAGCGAAGCTACTTAGTATCGCTGATGCTCATGGTGTGCTATCTAGCTCTACATGAAAAAAAATTTTACTCGTTTTCCTTAAAACAATTACAGCGCTGAAGAGTTACGTTCATGAGTCAAATAATGTTAATATTTTTTTTATCTATCTATTCAATGTGACATCACCATGACGTGACAGCATGAATGTCTCTTGTAAAATAACTGCTATAATAATTTGCACAGCAACTAGTAATGCAGTCTGCGTCATCCACAAATTTAAAGCGTTTTCGAAATGAGGTACCGATTCGAAAAAGCCATTTTCATGATGAAGTCATTGATGCTACATTGATGCTGTTATTCAGGCATCTGTTTCATTTTGATGATTCGTTTGATCGGTGCTATGCTGAAATGGCTGAGAGGTCGTTTTGAGAAAGATATCATGAATTGAGTACACCTAATCGGCAGATAGGTTGCATTGGTCGCATTTGGAAGTGTATTTCTATATATTCAGATATTTTATGCCCTAGTATGTCTACTATAAATTTCTTTAGGTTCCTCAGTTTATACTAGAAGATGCTGCAGAACGACAACAGGGAGTTCGAATATTCTGTACGCAGCCGCGAAGATTGCCAGTTCTTGCAGTATCTGCACGTGTCGCAAAAGAGAGGAACGAGAAATTGGGATCAACAGTGGGTTATCACATTCGATTGGAGCAGAAGTATGTTTTCTTCTTAAATGAAATTTCAGTTTTTAATGAATATTAGATCTGAAATCTTCGATCTTTCTACCACCGATTCACTTTTTCCAGAACATCGGAACAAACTGTACTAACATATTGTACCAGTGGGGTTTTGTTACGACTGCTAACAAATGACACTAACGCCTCCAATATTTCACACATTATTTTGGTTTGTGGCTGATTTGTTTCTTTCATTTCTAGATTAGTAGGTATCGTTGATTACTGTTCAACAACGAATAATGTATTTTTATTCGTTTCATATTTTAATACATTTTGGTGTACATTCTAAGAGATGAAAGCTAATCATAATAATCCATAGAATCGGTGAGAAAGTTGATAGAATTCTGATAAAAAGCAGACAGTTCCACTTATTACATTGAAATCAATATTATTTATACATAATCTGTTTGATATTACAACCAACAAGTGTATTGGTCTAAAATTGAAGGATGAAATTCATGAACGAGAACAAAAAACGGATTATCTACTGATAGTCCTTCGACAAGCACTTAAAAATCGAGATGATTTGAGAGTAAGTTTATGTTGCGTTTTATGAAATTTTGAAAGAATTTTCAGATAGCTAACTGACACGATGATACCAGTATGATAAAATCTTGTCTTTCCAGATTATTTTAATGTCCGCAACGATGGAAGAAGGTCGCGAGTTATTTAGACGTTATTTTGGTCCTGGAAATGTTTTTTGTTTGGACAGTAAGATTTTAGATCTTGTTTCACTTGAAATTATTTTCTCTTATTTGGAAATTAACAAGTAAGTGGTGGGACTTACAAAGAATAAAATAGAAGAGTAATCTTTTTTATAAGTCCTAGAAGTGATTGAGATGTATTTATCTTGTAAAATCACTATCATGCCTTGGATAAAAAATCATCATAAACATGAGAGAAATAATATTCAATAATGATGCTATAATTGTAAGTCATGATCTAACATAATCAAAATGATTATTGGAGGCAAATGGAGACAAACGAAATGATGAGGGATACTGAGGGCAATTCTGCTAGGATAGCTTACACCTGTACTGATAAAATATTTTACTGTATCCTAAATCGTTATTAGTTGCTCGCAAGTCCGCCAAAAACATTTAATAAGCTATGTACATGACTACTTGACGGCAGAAATGTGGAAAAGTTACTCGTCGATTTTTATCAACAATTATTGCACATAAAATGTTACTAATAATAAAGTATCGAAAGTGTCGAAAATTCAGCGACATGAATTTTTGATAAAGTAACAGCTGCTCTTCGAATATCCGTTTTTCGTTTGGTCTTCAATAAAATTGTTCTAGCACTATTATTATTATTTTGCGATTTTTTCGGCATCATTCTTGCCTTTATTTGATTTATTTACTGCATGAAGAAAAAAATTATTTCAGTACCGTCCACATTACATAAGGTGGAAATGTTTTATTTGCCAGAAATATTGGCATTGACAGATTATAAACATGCATCATCGTTTACCGGCGGTACTTTCTTTGGCAAAACTGCAAGGAGCTTGAATGATGATCAGGCTTACAATAGGTATTATATATTTTAAATTGGGAAATTATTTTATTTTATATCTATCATCTTCTTGGTGGCAAATCTCGATATTGCAAACTGGTGTGTAGGTTTATCAAATGAGACTGAAACCTTAATTTATCGAAAAATTTGCTTTCCTTAGTCGGGATAGATGCAACTAACGGTGTGGAACTTCATCTTTCAGAGAGTAAACTATTCAGCTGCATAATCAGATATTCTGAAAGTTCATGCTATAACATTTGACAAGTTAGTCAGCTGTAAGTAGATAAAAATCTTTTTAATCGAAAACTAATGAGTTGCGGTCTTGGAATCTAGCTCCGAATCTTGCAGAATTTGGGATTGTTTGAAATTATTAATTATATTCATTGCTTCTTCTTACAGTTTTCCTCAAGTGGACGAATTTCGTTCTGAAAATTATGATGACTCAAAAATGCAGCAAGGACGTAATAGCAAAAAAAAGGTAAGCTCTTTAGTGCTTTATATTTGAAGTTTCATTCTCGACTTATGTTTCATTAGATAGAAGTTAAGGGAAGCAGACTTCTAGCAGGTTCTTGTAAATCGATTCAGTTATTTAGAATGGCGATGAAACGAATAGCAATTGTGAAATTGTGCATTCGCGACGAATTGCACCATCTGCTGTTGCAAGTGATCATTTATCTCCAGTAATGATCAGTCAGGTCAATAGTCGGCAGTTATGTCCACAGTTGGTTCTTATTTTCCTCCATCAAAAGTTATTTTGACTTTCTTCAGAAAACTTGGAAGAAGTATGTTGGTAGTTGTATGTGACAGTTGGGGAAAAAAGGAACAAAGGAAAAAAAATTTCCAAATAATTTTACAATTCATGCATCAATGATCAGAGAATGTTTGACTGAGAGATGACTGTTTGAGCTAAGAATGAAAGCGATTGTTTATATATGAATGTCGTTTTATATCGGTGTGATATTCCGTATGAAAAAGTTTGCTCATTCAGTATTAGGTTTCCCAGAAAGTAAGGTGGTTGTGTGGCTGCGATCTGCATTCATTTGTCGGAATCTGCAGAATAGTTTTTACATGATTTTTACATGTTAGTTACAGTATTTAACAAAAAACAAGAGAGAAATGAACATTAAAAATGTACTTTTACAGGATTTCTTCGAATTCACACCAGGAAAAAGGATGTTATGCAAGTTTCAATGGTAAGTTTTATGCATTATTAAACTGTTTGATGTTTTCTTTGCTCGAAAATATCGATACTTTTTACGGAATTCTGAAACCGCCGTAGTGGCTTCACTTTTAAAGAAGAGTATTGAAATTTAACGTTGAGAAATGATTTTTAGGACACATTAGTTTAACTGAAATGTATAGCAAAATGAATATAAGAAACAACGAACAAAATGGCTGTTATCAAGAGCCAACGTTCTACGATGGATATCAGATGTATCCATCACACAGCGGATTGGCTGTAAGTTTTCTTTTTAAAATTTTTCTTATCTTAGATTTTTGAAAAATCGTTGCTTATTGGCTAAAAGACTTGCAGAAATAATATCGAGGAAAGTTGTGATAAATATTGGCGTATATAAATGAGCATATGGTTTAAAAGTTCGGGAATCTTGGTAAGGGGAAAGAATAGGCAGGATTTAGCTGTAAACATTGGATAAAATTCGCAATCTTGTCACATGCGTAGCATGTGGCAAATTCATGTTAGCAGTGAGCATGCGTGAGGAGAGTTTCTTTGAACACTTAATTTATGGCGTCGATTGTTTTCAGAGTTTCAACTACTCTCAGCCACCACCAAATTATGTATATACTCAGCAGATCCCAGTAACTCCATATGGTATGATGGCATCATATGTTGGTGGGCCACAGATGATGTATACAACATATCATGTAGTGCCGGCGCAAAGCGATTGCCAAAATTACTATGTTATGGTAAGATTGTGTTCGGAAATATCCAATTGCAGGTTGTTATTGGGACCAAGATATTCAATAATAGTCCTTGGAAATGAAGACAAAAAAGAAAACTTTGCAAGAAAGCAAAGCAATTGAAGTGAATAATTTGACTATCTATCAGTGACATAGTTGTGGCTATGGCACTAGAAAAAAGAGTCATGGTCGCAAAAACTTGCTTATCTCAAATTAGCAAGAAATAATTAGATGTATTCGTATATTTATTAAACTTTCTTATTAAATATTCGATGAAATCAGTGATTTATAGCCTCCAAACGTACAGGATTACACTCAGCCTCCAAAATTCTATATATCCACGAATAATGCAGACGGATTTGGGGCGCAGTGGAATTCAAATGGATCAGATTTTTCTGATCAGGGGTATTTATTGCAATTTTTTTATAACTATTTCTAACTATTTATTAATATTATTCACTTATTTCATGAATTCTCTAAATAGTGTTTCTGTTTTAGGTCTGAATAAAAGATGCTATTTACTTTGTTTCTGCGTTGGTTCAGAATTTTTCTGAAGTTTTCTTGAATTTTAATCATTTTTAGATCGTTAATGTCATTTTCGTTGCCAAATATCCATTCAGAACGTCGAGATGTGGTATGTTTGTTTTATGTTTTCATGTTTTGACTCTCTCTATCTAAATGAATTTTATTCACTATTCAGCGAAATTTATTCAAACAAGTTTTGACTCTACTTGTACTTTACCGTTGATGCATCGAGTATTTTGTTAGCCGCATTGCGATCAAGAATACTATGTATCTCGTTTGCGCGACCGTCCTCCACATTTCGATCCGTCATGTGTGGAAATCCTACGACGTACCAATTTGGATACGATTTACCTGGTTGATGTAAGTCTTCATATAATGCAATTTTTGTGTAAGAAAATAGTCTTCTTATATATAAATTGAACAAAGGATCAAGTGAAAAATAATAAAAACAACACAAATGAGAATGTGAAACAAATTAATTCGTTAAATCGAAATTTGAAGATCGGAAAGAAATTGAACAATTTAAGTGCATTGCATATGCGTTTTCTAGTCATATATGATATCCGGTGGTGAACAATGGTTGGAAAGTGTTGATACGGATTTAACAGTAGCTGTTATCAATTACTGCATGGATAGCCCAATTCATGGTTGGTTTTTTCATTGTGTTTATATGATCGAAATATCTTCACAAATAAAGCAAGATAACTATAAAATTTTTTGTTCTTTTTCGTAATACATTTGGTTTTCTGATTATCTTAATGTCATTATCTGACTTAAATAAATCAAAAGAAGAATTTGAACATTGCTGTGGTATTTATGGCCAAGTGATTTCACGATCATGGAGTTAAAAAACTTAAGGGTTTTTTTTTCAGGTTCAATTCTAGTATTTTTACCTGGTTATGAAGACATATTAGCTGTACGAGATAAAGCTATTAAGATGCAAGGCTGTTCCACAAAACCAGCAATTTTCACCCTTCACTCTCAAATGGGCAGTCAAGATCAGCAACGTGTGTTTGAACCAGTGGGTCGTGGTTATCGTAAAGTTGTATGTTTTAAACTAAATTATCTGATTGAATTATTAATTGTTTTTGGTTTTTGAGTGCATTGAAGAGAACTACGAATATAAGGGGATAAAAGACGAAGCATAATAATTCATCCCAATCTGGGACCTTTAACCGATCTGAGATCTTCTGGGTAGCATCACCAGTGGCAATAGTGAAATTTGGATGAATTACAGATTTTGAGTACGAATATTGCTGAAGCAAGTTTGACAATTGATGATGTTGTTTTTGTGATTGATTGTGGTAAAGTCAAAGAGGTAATGATTCAAACTTTTTTATAAAATTAAAATCTTTCTTAGCGATAGATCGGTACGTCTGCAACATTATTCTGTTTCTGAGGCATGGTCAGCAGGAGCGGGAGGTGGGAGGGGAGGCAGAACTGTGTTTCATTTATGCAGAAGAAATACACTGTTCTTGCTTTTTTGATCCACGTGTTCATTTGATTTACTAAAATATTTCTTTGGTACATAAAAAATGGAAAACCTGAAATATTCTAACCTCTTTTCTTTACACAATAGAAAATCTACGACCACTCAACACGTATAAGTCAACTTAAAATGACGTGGATAGCAAAGTCAAATGCTGAACAACGGGCCGGCAGAGCTGGAAGATGTCGAAATGGTTATTGCTTTCGACTGTACACAACGGAAGATTATGCAAGAATGAATCCAACTCAGGTATTTAATGCATGTTTGCTTTAATGTTCTTTTTATGGAATAAATTGTTTTATGTGTTCAAGATTGAGTCTGAAATACAGACGTTTAAATTTTGCAATGAATTACACTGTTTTAGTTACCTGAAATGAAGAGAAGCGCTATTCATGAAGTGTGTTTACATGCGAAGATGTTTGCCCCAAGAAAATATTCAGTTCGTCAATTTTTGCTTAATGCGCCGGAACCACCGGCTGCAATGGCTATTGATCGAAGTTTTGAATTTCTTGAGGTGCAGAAATATTTTGCTGCAGAAAGTTCTAACTATTCCTTAACCCTCAACAATTTTTTCATAATTTCTTTAAGCCTTTCTACTGCTTTTCGTCGTTCTTTTAATAATGATAGTTTCTGAGTAATCTATCAATTATTAGTAATGGAAATTTTTGGAATATAATTTACAGCAAATTGGTGCAGTTTTCAAAAGTCGGCTAGAGCCATCGCAAATGTTGCACTTAGCGGATAATTCGTACTTATCAAATACTCGGAATGGTGAACCGGATTTAACCGATCTTGGGCGTCACATTGTACAACTTCCACTGTGCCCGCAGTTGGCACGGTTTCTTCTTTTTGGAATTTGCTTGAAATGCTTAAGTCCCGTTTTAACACTTGTTGCTACTCTGTCTCATCGTGATCCCTGTAAGTTATTGTATTTGATCTTTAGATATTATCCGTTTGTCTTCTTTCTCATTCATCTTCCCATTCCATTTAGAATGGCATTAAAGTATTTACTATTTTAGTTGTGTTACCACCGAGTGGTGAACGAGAAGAACGAAATTCCGCAATGATGACACGTGATATTTTCGCCGGCTTTGATTACTCCGATCATATGACATTTTTGAGAATATATAACGCGTTTGTAAAATTATCATTTAATGGACAATCGAATTTTTGCATGGCTAATTATTTGTCTCTCAGTGCAATGCGGATGATTGTTGGCATTCGGTAAGTGGATCTGCATCTTTTTTAAAACTAAAATTACCCCAAGTGATTAAAATGATGGATTGAAGTTGGTATAAAAGTATTTTATAAAAAAATAACATATAGTTCTTTATTTTGATCCTGCTCTTGACAGCGGCATCAAATTGAGTCAAATTTAAAGATCAGTGCATCTTTTCAGCCTACAGCAAATAGACGAGACCATGATGGCTTTGTTATACTTACTAAAAAAATTGGCTCTTAAAAGGGATTCTTTAACCTTTTTTTCGATTTAGTAATTCGAAATTGGTCTGAATTTTTGTCGGAAAGAGTGGTGCTAAGTTTTGCTCTCTGCAGTGGACTGGATAATGGGATAAGCGAAAGTTATTCCTGTTTTTTTTGGTAGTCTTCAAAAATTTTGGAACTAGAAAGGACGTGATCTCACAATTTTATGATTCATGGCTGTTTTTGAGATGTGTTGTAGTGCCATTCTAGACAACAGCTGTTCATGGAATTGCAAAGGCTTCGGCTGTTACCCGCAAGTTGTCGATCAATAGATGACCCCGATTTAAATCGATATGCTAATTCATGGCCAATGATTCAAGCAGCTATCGTAGCAGGCAGTTATCCTAACATTGGTTTTACGCGTTCCGGTGGTCAGATTCGAAAAATACGTACAAGGTATTTGAAAAACTATTTTCCAAATCTCTGATCATTTAGTAATTTGTTTTAACGTGACGTTTTTTGCTTTTACTATTCTATATCTTTTTTCAGTTAGAAATCAGATTTAGAATTTAATTCCTGAGCTGGTGGGATAGCAGTTATCATTGTAAGGAATTCCGTGAAGTGAGTACGAAAAATTGATCCTTGGTCAAAAAGTTTCTTAGCATATTTTTGTGTAAAAGTTTAATGGTTATTCCTTTAAATTGGTACAAGGTTTAGCGGTTATTTGATTAAATTTTTAGAATTCGAATTTTTGCAGTAACGAAGTTGCATCGTTACCATATGGATGTGCAGTTAAACGACAAGCTTCATCTACTGGAATGAACGGAATGGGAGTTGGGAGATTAGGAAAATCGGAACCGGTTATTGAATATCTTGCTTTCCAGGAGTTATCAAAAACTGGTGACAACTTGAGTGTAAGTTGTTACTAATGTTACTACCACCTTGTTCTTTTAGTGATTTTTCTCATTTAATCCATCTTTTTTAAAGTTTTCAAATTCGAAACAGACTATTAATTTTTAAGTTGCGAACGGTTACGGCAGTTCCACCGCTGACTGTATTGTTGTTTGCCGGTCCAATTCATCTCAAACGTGAAGTTTTGAATGACTATTCTATAGGTAAGCTGATTAGCTTTTCTAAAATATAATTTTATTATTGAAAACGAATTTTTGTCATATTTGACATTTCATGGTAGATGCTATTTGTGGTTAAGACAGTTTTTAATTTTAGGTGATGAATTTGCTTTAAATGATGATGCAGACACGGATTCGAATACCGATGAATGCGTCTTTGCTCTTGAGCCGTGGTTGGTTTTCCGATGGAAATTTGAGGTTATTTTTTAAAATTTATCCCTTTTCAAATTTTTTTCTAAAATTTTTTGAGTGCGATGAATTTAATTGTTGTGTTTGCTGTTGTAATTTCCATATTTTCAAGCTATTTCTTTCTATTTTCTTACTATTTTGCCTCTTCTTGTTTCTTTTGACTCTCCTGATTATCAATAGAATGAACCAAGAATTATTTTCAGGATATGCAGCTAATGTTAAAGCTGCGTGTCAAGTTGATGACTTACTTTATATTCGTAATGAAACAACCTGATCTCCCGGAAACTGAGGAAACAAAGGTTTTTTTTTGTTGCTGATTTGTTATTGGTATGGTCTCATTTGACAGTGAATAATGTTGTTTGCTAAATTAAAATTTCATTTCTTGAACTTTGGATTTTTACTCAATGACTCTACGTGGTTCACAAAAAAATAGACTATAGCGTAAGATGCTTGGGATGCCTTCTTTATTGTCAATTTAAACAGTTTTCTTATGAAATCTGAAATTTAATGTAAATACGCCATTTATTTTTCAAGGAACTGCTTGCAACCATAAATCAAATACTGTTAGAAGATCATTTTCGTGCGGGATTTGCAAATTGTACCGATTTGCCAAAGTTTCGAGAACATTCCCCGAATTCTACAAATACCGAGGTGGATATAATAAAGCTTTATATATTTAAAATTCTTTTATTGCACACATTCTCTTATTATTTGAAGACAAAATAGCTTAACCATATATGTCCAGTTTCTAATGAAGTTTTAAAGTTTTTTTAAACGAAATTATGCAAGTTTACTGTTCCAAAATTGATATTTTCACTTTTCTCGGACTCCAAATTTTTAGGCAACAAATGAACGATCATTTCGTCATCGGCAACTCCCGGGCCATACAGAAGAGCAATGTCAACGAGAAACTGCTGTTGATAGTTCTTATCTTATGACACGAAATCACCGGCCAAAACAATCGAATGGAATTTCAAACTTGGATAGTCGAGCCGACTTCTGTGGCGGACCCGGTATACAGTCTCTCGAAATAGATGAAAGTTCGAATTTTCCAAGACTTTTGAAACTATTGATTATGATGTATCCAAATAAATCGTGATTAATATTAAATTGTTCATGTTAGAAATTGTGAAGGAATTATTTGTTTTAGGCATCGATAACAACGATCATTTGTCCTATCGTCCTGAAGAAGAAAACACCGCAACAAACACTCATTTAAATGAACCTAGTGATGATACCTTTATTGCAGTATCACTTCCATTTGAAGAAGAACAAGTTTGTTCCGTTGTTCATCATCTTCTGTTATAAATGACTTTTAGGATCCCGAGAAAAAACTGTCAAGTTTTAAAAAGAAAAAAGGAATATAGATTATATTTACTTAGTTGAAATAAAAGTATTTTCAGGTCCCCGAAGATCCATGTATGAGTACATTGGAAGAAGCTGGAATAACAAAGGCCAGGCAAGTATTAGCAGTGAATGTGGAAAAAGAACAGAATAATTCAGTTGGCGATGATTTATCACAGGAAAGAAGTACAGAGGAATCAAATGAACAGCAAGAAACGCCTAATGATACAGTTACAGTTGTTCAGAGATCAGGACATTTCGTTTCCGATCATTTTCGACCAGATGACCAGCGTATTCGACGAATGTTTCGACAATTTGTGAATAGATCAAGGCCACAATCAACGCGATCAACTGATATTGTCAAAGGTTCTTTTTCTGTTTCGTGCCATGCTGAATATTGTTTACTCATTTCGATGTTAATAAGATGCACTCTTATCACAAATAGTTTATTTGTTCTGTTCTTCCATCTTCTCTATATTAATTATTAAGAATGAATCATTTGTTCATTTTTTAAAAGTAGATTGTTGTGTCAGTGTGGTATGCTCAAATGGTTTTTGGGAAGTAGTCCATTCATGGAAGCAGATTTTTCGCTAAATTAATTGGGCATATTTAATATTTGAAAATGAAAGTAGTTTTGATTTGTCCTCATATCAATTTATTTTGATTGTGAAAGATGCTTACAGCAGAAGATCAGCAGGAATACCGCAATAGTGAAGAAATTAGAGAACGGCGACGAGAAAATCGTCGAAGAGATTGGTAAATTTTCACAGTTCGATTTTTCAGATTTTAATTCTTCTTGCAGTTCTCCTACTTTTGATACCTGGAAGGAAATATACTATATCCAAAAATAGAATGAATTTTTATATACTATATCCAAAAAATACTATATCCAAATATACTATATCCAAAAATAGAATGAATTTAAATGAATTTTAATAAATCTTTCAAAATAGTGAAAGATTTATTAAAATTCACGGTTGTTAGATTAAATTAACTAAAGCACAAGACGGCATGTGCATGTGATTTTTTTTCACGTTACTTATGTGGAGCACTTTTTTATAGTGTTTTCAATAATTTTTGAGGCACTGGAGAAAAAACCCACCAGCATGCTGTGTTGCACCATCAGATGCTTGTCGAATGCCACTCGCATATTTTAGAGGAGGTGGACATATTTTTTTGTTAAATTTTTTGAATTTGGTTTTTACTTTAATTCTTATTTCTATATCAGTGAAAAGCGAAAATTTCCCAAAAAACACTTTTCAATATTTTCAGGCAGAAAATCTGATCGTTATCGCGGTAGTGGATTCCGTGGTCGTAGCAAAGTATCACGGAACCAGCCTAACCAGAACGACCTAACCAGCCGTGAGCTGACATCTGATCTTACTAGCTGATGTGACTTTGTATGAGATGTACTATGGTTTCAATTCAAGTATACACCCTCACCTCAAATCTTATCTAAAATTATAGGTTGTGTGAGTCGAGAAATTGTATTATTTATACATTTAGTTGGTTGATTTAAATTTATGTTACCTTGACAAACCTAGATAATTTTTTCCCAAACAGTTAAATTTTTAAAAAAGCATTTGAAATTATGATACCTTATTAAGCTATTATTTATGAATATTTTTTATGTTTAGTTTTTTTAAGCCATATCTCATATTTCTTTTTTAAGTCTGTTTCTCATCGTTGTCGTAAAATTGTTATATCTGTTAACAGATTGTAAGATTTTAGTTTTTTTTATTGGCAGTCTTTTTCTGCCTACCGTAATTTATTCGTTTTTTCGATTTTTCAATTTTTGTTAGTTCTGGGATCACTCGAGTCTAATGCACAGTTCCATCTCTTATTATTTTGTGTTTTTCTCACAGGATTTTCTGTTTTATTCTTGAATTTTGCAGTTTCTTGCTGAATCTGATCACGTTTTAGTCTTTTATTTTCAATTTTTTTTCCCATGTTATCTTGAAATGGAAGGAGGTATTTGAGGGTGATTTGGATAAAAATCATCCTATGCTTTTCTGTAAATTACGTTAATTCCTCGTTTATATAGTTGTCTAAATTTTTACCTCCAAATTTTTTTCGTATACCGTGGAAATAGTTTCCTGATTGATAATATATTTCAGTTTTATTACATTACATATATTTATTTCATTACCAATAATTGTCTACATAATGATAATTTCTAGGATTTTGCAAAATGAGTAACTATTTATTTGTCTCTTTTTTTGTTCGAGATTACGGAATTTCTGCCCAAATGTTTGAAATTTCCCGAGTTTATTATGAAACGTTGCCTGAGATGGATTACAGTAACAGTTGATATTTTAAACTTCTAGAAAATGATGTTTTGGCCATTTCTAGCGTTTCATTAGGCTTCCTTCATACATATTCAGCGTTTGTTTCACTCAACTTTGACTTAACATTGTTGATAATGAAGCTGATTTTTGTTATATCATTTTCTCATATTTTCTTCCATCTATCTTGGCCATTTTATTTGAAATTATTTGATTATGTTTGTTTCGAAATCTATATCTATTTCTTTTTCAGAAATTGTATTGAAGATATTTATTTATTTATTTAATTTATTATATTGATAATTTTAAATCCCAACGTATCATTATTGTATCTTATGTGGTCTTTTTTTATTCCTCATTTTGATATGATTACGAGCATCATATTGACAAATTTGAGAAATTAATTGATATAGTTTGTTTAATTTTTTTTCTAGAAACTGATGAATTATTTCTTGCCATTAGTAATGATACTAATCCAAGTAGTCTTTTGCAGTGCCAAATCTATCCGTCACTATAGCATACGATGAATAACCTCTTCTTCATTACCCTTTTCTCCTTTTTCTTTCCACTCCTCCACTTGTTCGTTTCTTCGTTTTGTTCGTTCGTTTGTTTTGAAAAAAAATAAGCTTTCCACATTGTTTTATACAAATCATAGTAATAACAAGTACTTAATTTATTCATATCTAAGATAATTATGCCATAAAATTTTACATTTCAAATAAAGTTATGCTCTGTAAAGTTCTCCTATAACCCCTTTGAAGTGATCATGACTAATGCTGCGAAATGAGAATTTTAAGACGCCTGACACTTCGATCTAAGAATTGCTATCGTAGTGCAATAATGGGACATGAGAAGGAAATAATAGCTTTGAAACATTAAGGGTCGGTGAATTCTTAATTTATATATTTCATGGAATAACTTGGCGGTATACATTTGTAATCGTTAAACGCATTTACACTTTTGACACCAGCAGATTGACTAGAATGGTGTTAATTCTTTAAGTAATCCTTATATCATGCGGAAACTATTCCTATCATCTAACAGTGATGACATTAGTGGGATAAGCTGGTAGTGATAATATTATCAAATATCAGTGAGTTACAATGCAAAGGCAATGATGTCATATTAATATTTAATTATGACAAGTGACATATTTTATTCTAATAATTTCAACGTAAAAATATGCTTCATGAAGAACGTTTAAATTTATGGTTCTAAGATACATTTAAATAAAAGGATCTCACAAGTTGATCTTTATTTGATCTCTCAAATTTAATTAAAAAAGTTTTCGAATATTTTGATGAATCATCTTTTTAATTCTCAATTTGATAACTTTCCCAATTTTTAGCATTTATTTAAATTTTTTATTTTTAATTGTAAAAAGTGTTGCAATAAACAAATTTACATGAAATAACTAATTTCCTCTTCATTACAAAAGATTTAAAGGAAGAAGAAATGAAGAGAGAGAGAGAGAAAATAAAGTACTTAACACTTGAAAGAGTACCTACCGAAATTCCCAAATGAATGTAAAATGTAAGTGAAAAGGATGAAAATTGGCTTACCATAATCCTCGTTGAGTGACAAATTGAGTATGTAAAGAATATGTGAATTTATATAATTGAAATGAAGGATAAAATAAAAGGAAAGATAAATATGAAGCGGAAACAGGAAAAGAATGAATGAGAAGAGTTTATTTAAGAGTAGAAGAAATGATTGAAATGCAAAACGGAAAATTTGGTTAATATTTTAATTTTTGCATTTTTCCCTCTTTCATTTTTCCCGCATTATTTTCTCTTTTAATTAAATCATTTGGAATGAATATTTGGCACATTTATAATAATATATTATCATCTTCTTCTTCTTCCTTTTAACTATTTATTTGAAATTATTTTAAAAAAGGAAAAAGAAAAAAACAAAAGGTTTTCATTTGTTATAGCAATGTATGCTTTCTCATAGAAATGAGAGAAAGAAAGAAAGATTTATCCATAATTATTATCCCGCGGGAATATATTCAATGATTTTAGCTGATAACTATTTCCCTATCTCTTTTAAATATATCTGATAAAGTTAGCAAAATTGTTTGTTTAAAAAATTTCGTTTTCCTTTTTTGATGGATTTGAAATGGATATTGAAAAAAAGGAAAATATTCGAAAAAATATATCGGAAAAAAGAGAGAGAGAGAAAAGTGAGAAAAGAAAAGAGAAAATTCCCAATGGATTTTTTTTTCCATTTCAATCTTTTTAAACATTTGAAATAATTGAATTAAAAATGAAACCACTCCCAACCAGTCAGTTTAATAATATATGGGAGAAGTAGAAAAGGATAAGTAAAATGAAGAGGACAAGACTGAAAAGGATGTAATCATGGAAGATGAAGGAAAAGGAAAAATAAACAAAGATTAAGGAAAGGAAAAAGAAAAAGGCGATATTGGGCTCTTTTAAGTTTCAATCATAATTATATATCGTTGTCTTCTTATATCTCTGTTATAAGCTTTATCCTAAAATGTTCACCTCAATTGATGCTCTCTTACGACATGATAATAATTATAGTCATAATCACCGTAATAATAATAATAATAATAATGATATCAGTAATAATTATAATGACAACAATCATCATAATACGGCAACTTTATCAAATTATCAAAGATTGAATGGAAAAATAATTCATATTTTACCTGATAATATTTCCTCATCTACTTATTCCATTAATTCTCTATCATCATTTCCTGGAAATCAACGTGATGTGAAAACATTCTCCGGAATGGAAAATATGCGTCATATTCCACCTACAACGTCAACTTCATCATCAGCAATAACTGCTACCATACCATTTATGAAATCATCATCATCATCATCATCATCACCTCTGCCACCAACAGTAATGACAGCATCGACAACAACAGCAACAACAACAACAACAATTACTACGGCGACAAGAACAGAGACAACACCAATTCCAAGTGGACAACTACCGTATCCATCCATGTTCCACACCACTAACATTCCATTACTCTATGATCATATTGCTCTAACAAGTTAGCCTATTCATGTATTACTGCGATCCCTATCGGATTTTTTATTGTATCTTACGATAAATTAATTTTTAATTGAGAGTAATATCTAATTGTAATGACTTAAGAAAAATGAGATAGGGTGAGAAGTACAAAATTAAATACGCTTTCTTCTTTTTTTAATAATTTATTTGAAACAGTGAATAATTTTTCCATTTACAATTTCTGTCTTAGTTTCAGATATTAATATCATTATTGTCGAAGATTTTAATTTTGGAATTAAATTTAACGAAAACAAATAACAAATAGACAGCTTCAGATAAGAAAGAAAATATGAAAGTAAGATGGCTTAAAAGAGAGTACAAAATTTAACCCAAATTATGCTTAACTGTGAATTGATTATTTTCACATGGAAATTTAAATTCCAGGACTAATGAAATTTTAGAATTAAATGAAATTACTTACTTTTGTGAGTCATACTATTAATTCATATTATTTATTTAATTGTTAATATTTAAGATTGAACATAGATTTCAACTTCACAATAGTTTTCAATTTTCAAATTATCCAATATTAAACTTATGGTTAATTGTAGTAAATGCATGGCAAACATTAGGAAAGATCCGACGTCCACGGACAGCATTTACCACTGAACAACTCATTGAACTTGAAAGAAATTTCACACAAGCTCGCTACTTATCACGGCCTAAAAGGTACCGTATACTTTGCAATAAATGGATAATATAAATTGGTGATATTATTTTGGCTAAGTTTCTTGCTTATATGTTGATTGGACAAAAGGGAAATACATGAAAAATGACCAATGATTATTAATGTTAGTCTTATTGGCAGATTGTACGAACAAAAGTTTGCAAGTTTGAAATAAATTTATCCCATTTCTTTCTTTCTTCAGTATTGATGAACACTACCATCAACTTCTGTATTTTTTAATTTTTTGTTCATCAAAATTATTATACCAAAAATAAGAAAAAATAGAAGCTTAAATTTAATTTGATAATTCAAAAATAGTGAATTATATTTGTTGACAACGAATATTTTATTTGAATTAAGATCCTTTACCTCATTTACCTTTTTTTGTCCTATTCTTTCATACCAATTAATTTTTGGATTATAATAAATTTCTACCCAACAATTAATATCTTTGAAATTGATGAAATTCATAATAACGACAGTATTATCACTCGATATAGCTTATCGCACTTGATTGTCATCGTATCATAGTTAGAGTAGAAAAGATTATAATTACCAATGCAAAATTATTCTTCCTTATTAAAATGTTAGCTTGTCACAGTTGATTATTATAATTATAACATAATTGTAATTGTGGTTGAAAGATATTTTCTGAAACAATAATTAATAATTCATTTCTGGTGTAGGAAGCTAAAAAAAATATTATCCAAGTTGTTACTATTTAACAAACATTTTCCTACTATTTAATTTTTAACAACTAATTTTTCGATTCGTTCATCAACCTTTCATCTATTTATTTATAATTCATATTTATAGATCAAAAGTTATTCATATTATTCTTTTAGGTATCAGTTGGCTCAAAAATTACAGTTATCAGAAACACAAATCAAAATATGGTTTCAGAATCGACGTATGAAAAATAAACGTACCGGTTCCGCTATTTTAAGTTCAAGCCAAGTTTAATTGACTTTATCAATGAGGTATTTCATTGATACTTCATCCACCTGTTATTCATCTAGTTTTTTTATAGACTGGATAAATGAATTGAAATTTAATGATTATGATTTATAATCATGTAAAAATTATGCAAACGATTAGTGTAATATCCAATATTGCAAACTTTTGAATGAAGTAAACAAATCAAAGCTTACGTAAAAATTGTGCAAAAATTATTGCAATATTAATGGCAAGCACTTTTCATCGATGTAATCTTACATTTTTCATAAATCTCTTTAGAAGTTCACTTGTGAATGATTAGTTTATTTTTTGCTTTCAAACTCATCAGTTTGTTAGAAATGGTATGTCACTAATAGTTTTGGGACCCACATTGAACCATTTGTTTTGTTGTTGATTTGCTGAAATTTCCAATTATTTTTCTTAAGAAAAACTATTCCAAAAATGGATTTATTTGTGATTCATTGTTGCATACTAACAGAATTACATAATTCTTTCTCCTTATCATTCATTTAGGTAATTATTTAATTAATTTCATATAATTAAAATCAATTATCGTATTAATGTTATCGATGATAGTAAGAATACAGAAAAGTGACAATAGCTAACAGATGAAGATAATGGATAACAGAAAATGGTACCAAATAAAAGATGATGATAATGAATAACATACAATGATATAAGATCAAGATAATGAATTATTATGATCGAATAATATTCATCTGCTGACAAATATCATCAATTTTCTCCAACTTGACATGAATATTCAACAACAATCGATTAAATTAATTGTTACCTGCAAGAAAAATGAATCGATCAGTTTAATGGAAATTTCAGGATAAGGAAATTTACATAATTTTTAGAGAAATTTTCCGAACGAATCGATCACTTTTTAATGGTTTATTGAAATTTTTTAAAATGTATAATTTGAAAATTTGAGATCTTCAATTTCAACACTCAACAATTGGTTAGAAATTTACAATTGTTGCATACATTGTGTGTGTGTGTGTGTGTGTGTGTGTGTTGTGTCTATGTGTATTTGTGTATGTATTTGTGTGCAATTTGCTGAGTTGTGGGCAAAATGTTGTAATACCGCAGCAGACGTGCGTGTGTAAGTGACGTAACCACACGAATCACTAAACAACTGACACTATTTCCTCGAGAGTACTTCAACAAGCTACACCAATCAGCAATCACTAAATGCTTTCCGGAAGCAAATAATATTTACCTATGATTTTGTTACACAACCAATAACAATTGGCTGTAATCCGTTAATATAAATACTAACGGTATTATTGATACCGGCTAATAATGATGTTTAAGCTTATCCTTTCATATAATAGTATTCTATATTTTGATTAAAACAGAATGACATGATAATCTAAGATTACTGCTACTATGGTTTTATTGATGGATTATCATTAACAATTATCATTCATTAAAATGAATTTTTATAAAATCTGACGACGAAAAATCAACAAATCATAAGAAAAGGAAGAATTCGTTTTATATTAATTCAATATCTAAAAATCCCTTGCCTAATCATTTTTCTTCGTAACTCTTTCAGATCATGTAGTAATCATTCTTTATCAGTTCTATATCTGTTGTTGTTGTTGTTGTTGTTGTTGTTGTTGCATACTGCTGAAATGAATAAAGAAGAGAACGAGAAATAAGGATTGAAACTGATCGAAATTGAAGTTATCTTATTAGATTAAAAAAAATGCACAATATGGAAGAATATCAAATATGTCAAAATCTTACCATCTAGACTGATTTTATCTGATCTGTTTTGATCTGACAAGTGATCCGACAAACTTTACTTACTTAGCAATCAAGATAATGTATTATATGAGAATTATACCAATAGAAGGAAACCAACTTTATTCCACGAGCAATACTACTATTCTGTGCTTGTACTATCCAAATTAAAAATTCAAGAAATTTTCACAACGGAAAGTATCCATTCAAATCCATACATATCATAGTTAATGATGCCAAACCTCAAAAATCATTGTGTGAATTTCCTTTTCACCATCCAATCCCATCAACCCCATATGTTTGCCTCTTTTCACATCACATTTTGACAGTTTGTTAGATGTTAAACACAAAGAATCATTATTCATCATCACCACCACTATCGTTATTATTGTTATCATTGTTATCATTGTCATTACTAACAAAATTATTAGCAAGAGCAGTAGCAGTAGCAATAGTAATAGCAGTAGTAGTTTCGATTAGAGGGATTGCTATTACAGCAATATCAAACATATTGTATGGTTTATTTGATGGTTACCCATGTGGCTTTTGCTATTGCAAGCAAGCAAATAAACAAGCAAGCAGGAAAGCAAAGAACAGCAATATCTTTTGCACCAAGCAAACATCTGCAAATACCTACCGATCAAACAACTATTGCTACCCACCACCAGATGTGGCTTTTATCCCCTTTAATATCATCATCATTCATTCAATTCAATTCCATTCCATTCTATTCCATTCCATTTACTCTATTCTATTCCATTACGATATTCCGATATATTCCACCCACTCTCTTTCATTTCATTCCAATATGTTCCATCCATTCTACATTATTTTATTTTAATATATTCAATTCATTCTGTTCCTTTGTAATCTGTTGTTCTATTCGTTCTTTAGTACTTCATTTTATTCCAATAAATTCCATTTATTTCATTTTAATATGTTCCGTTCATTTCATTACATTCCAATATATTCCATTATATTCCAATATATTCCAATTACATTCTAATATATTCCATTATATTCCAATATATTCCATTCCACTCATTCTTATGAAGAAATTTTTTTTTCTTTAGGTAAGATATTTTTCATTGCTAAGTTACATTTTATCTAAAGTAATTATCAAATATGGTAAAGCGGTGAAATATCACAGGAGAGAAGGGAGAGAAAGAGAGAAAGAGAGAGGGAGAGATGTGAAAGAGAGAATTTTTGCTGATATTAAATAAGCTTATTATGAAGAAGTTTGAAAGCTTAAAGGATAACATTTGGTTCAGATGAATTGATCTTAGTAAGTGAATTATAAATTTAATCTAAAGATAATGGCCAGCTTATTATTGGCAGAGAGAGGGAGAGAAAGGAAGAAAGAGAGAGAGAGAGAGAAGAAGAATGAAAGAAAGAGAAATAATAGTTTAATAAATTTGCTATATTATTAATTACTAAACTTTAATTCATTTGAATAAAATTATATTCATTTTAGCAGAAAATTTTTTTATCATTTTCATATCAAATTATTTATCTCAAAACTTTTAATATTTCTTTTTCAAATTTCTGAATAAAATTTTGCTACACAGACACATACACACAGACAGACAGACAGACAGACACAGATAGAGACATGTGGCGATGCAAAAATTATAATAAATCATATGTTTGAAATTTCGAAATTTCTCTTTCCATTAAGGATTTACAGGGATGTTTGAATTACTTTGATCAAAGCAAAGTAGTAGTAGTAGTAGTAGTAGCATAGGCGGAGAATTAGCTATCAATCATTAAAAGATTCGCCCTGTACTATACTGATCTTAACCCCTCGAAAAGCCGCCCAAATCGATTTTAGCATCACAAATCCGTCAATTCCTCACCTCATTTAACCCAAACATACATTTTATCATTGTTACCTATTTCTTTCCAGAATATTTTCTTTTCATTCCCGGTATTTCTGGTATTTATTCCCTGTGCCCCCCGCTTTCTCCATCTCTTCCATTCTCTGTCTTTTCACTTTACAATATTTAATTTCAAATAAATGACAATATAGTTGTGGTGTAATAAAATGAAATTGAAGGAAAAATATGATGAAGAATAAGAAATTACAATTAAGCCAATTTATTTTCAACAAAAAATTTGGAAATATTGAAATTGGAAATTTAATGTGAAAACTTTATTGCAATGAATAGCTATTATCCTACTCGACAATGACATAATTCTAATTTTCTACCTCTTATATTTTTCCTATAATAATTCAGTAATGATCGATATATTGATATATTTAGCATATTTTAAAATCTTTCTACCTTTGACCTGCCATTATTAATCGCTTAGTAATTAGTAAATGAAAAATGAGCGAAATGAGAAAATTCAATTTTCAAATGATTTATGCTTATCGTATTGAAATTTTTGGCTTCCAAAAGGAACAAAATGAATAATTCGTATATATTTTCTTAGCAATGTAATTAACAGTCAAATCAAAGTTTTAAAATTTAATTTAAAAATAAAAAAGGATTTGTCCTTTTTGAAAATTAAATTTTTAAATTTTATCAATCGTAGAATATTTTAAAGTATTATTTTCGATAATGTTTCTTATTGTTTCTTAATTAAGTATATGAATAACTTCAAATGCCAAAATCGCATGTTAATACATTTTGTTAATTAAAATAAAAAGCTATCTCCTTCATTTCTTTGCCCGTACAATAAATAATTTTTCAATTTTTTAATTTAACCTAATTTTCTTCATCCTTCTTTATTTTCATAGATCACTGTGTTAAAATTTATGGTAGCTTGCTTTAAGTCTTTTTAAATTAATTAAAACCATAAAATAAGTTGGCTCATTGCTTTTGTTACTATTGCTGTCCTTTTATTATTACCGTTTTTTTTAATTAAATAGTTCATTAATTGGAAGATCTTTTTTATTCCTTCCTTCCTTTGAAAATACTTATCAATCTTTCATATCTCCAAGATCTTGGAGATCTAAAATCAGATTTCTCTTCAGATCCAGATTCCTTTAATTGAGATTCCCTAACTCAACTACCATCTTTCTAGTGTACGAAATCAACCTTTCGCTTCTCCAAAAATTTCTTTTTCTTTCTAGAATCCAGTTAGCAACCTTTCACCTCTCTGAAATTCGTCATATTCCATTCAAATTCATTTAGATGAAAAGAAAGCAAATTTAACAGAAAACAATGACTACATTTTCAGGACAGATTTTGCGGAACGATAAGGAAGACGAGAAAAAAGATGGTCCATTTCGTTTTTGTTGGATAAGCAAGTAGAAGGTTGTTGTACTTTCTAACTTTTCATCTAACAACTTAGATGGATTTAAATTTCAACGAAAAAAAAAACAACAATTCTCAATTATTAATTAACTTCTTTGAATTAATTAACACATTTGTTGCATCTTTTTTTTTCATTTTTGATCAAAATTTTAGATAAAATTTAACTTTTTCAAAAAATATAAATTTTTCGAATTCTTAAAAACACACTAAAACATTTTAATGTAAGGTGTTAATGAAGAACAATGAATAAATATGTCCTTCCTTTCATTGATATCAAGATAAAGGTGAAACAACGAGTGACGATGATAGGCGGGGTGCGGGAAAGAGTGAAATGAAAGGTAAGAAAGAGATAGAGGAGGAGGAGAAGGAGAAGGAGAAGGAGGAGGAGGAGGAAGAATGAATGAATGTCATCACTTGTCATTAGGATTAGTAATGGTAACAACGATGGCTGTCAACGAACTTAAAAACCAAAACCGATTAAAAAATCTGATTTTATTATTATTATCCCTTACTGTTGTTTGTTATCAAAAGACAACAATAATGATAATGATAATTGATAGTGATGTTAAATAATTGTAGTATGACTAATTTTGATGAGATATTGATGACAGTAAGGACAAGAAAAGGGGAAAAAGAAAAAAAGGAGAAAAATTTGATAACAGCTGGAACAGTCAATATCATCCATTTTTTTTAATAATAACATGTTTGTTCCTCTTTTTTTTTTGTTTTTAACTATTAATCTCACCTTATTATATTTAATTCTCACTACTGATAAGCTACGATCAAACCTTATCAGTTGAAAGAAGCATTTTGGTTTTTAAGGATTTCTGATAGGGTTGTAATAGTAGGTGCAATTTTTAAAGAACTATTAAATGGCACATAGATTTTATAGTTTTTGATGTATTGTGTCCACTGAACAATTTCTTTTTCTTTTGCGGTTATAATTATACTAATTGTGCATATAATAAACGTATTTACATATTTACAAATATGACATTCATATAGTGATTGCATTATGCAAGATAACATATGCATGCATTGTTTGCGGTATACTAGTAAAATGTATTTTTAGTAGTTACAGTATGTATGATACATTTACATGTTTGTAATGTGCAAGAAATCAGATTTATAGTGGTAGCAATAATTGCTGCAGGATGTATATAAGTTATTGCATTATGCATGACATGCTGATTGCAATATGCAAAATATTATTTTTTTTATTGTTAAATTTTTTTATTGTTAAATGTAAATGAATTTATAAGAAGGAAATTTGCTAAATAATAATCAAAACGATTAATTAAAAAAGTTAATTTTCTTTGTTTCGTTTAACAATAGTTATTGATTAGCAGCACTTTGTAAACCTCAAACAGCTGTGGTTGTTTTTCATCATTTCCTCAATATCCTTTCAGTTCATTTTCTCATTCCTCCTTTTTATGTCATGCTTCTCAAAATGTTCACATATCTTTGATGCCACCTGGAATTAGTTATTCGATGTTTTTCAAATCACCCAATAAATCAATCCATCTGAATATCACCAATCCATTTACACCAATTTATTTTCATTCATCTCTTTAAAGGCTATCTGCCAATAAACTGTATTCAGTAAAATTAACCAAATTTTTTCATTTCTCTTCATTTCCTACCATCTCTTCTCATTTCTTTCCATCACTTTATTAATCAAAATTTTAATTCATAATTCCGTTCTCTTAAAATTCATTAATTTATTTTAATTACTTTTTTTTTTATCCAATATAATTTTTCCCGAAATTTTCTGAAATAATTTTATTAATGCTTCTTTTATATATTACAGAATCTTCGAGGAAATTATGTATATATGTATATGTTTTTATTACATAACAAACTTTTGAGTTTTCTTCTAATAATAATTAAATTAATTTTTCAAATCGACCCGATAAATCGTCACATTTTATCCTATGAATTCTGTAGTTTTACAACTTCTAAATTTGGTTTTTAAGTTCTTCCTTTTTTATGAAACTTATCATTTTTATGAAACTTATCATGATCATATGGGAATGAATTCATTTCATTAACTCTTCATGAATTTTATAAAATTTGAAAAATTTTTCACATCCTCTCACATAGTTCGCAATTATTAATAACTTAACAACAATAAACTGTATCAAATTAATTATTCTAATAGTTAGATGTGATTTTTTTACATTTATCGTTGCATATCAATTAATTATTACATTTCGTATAATGTACAGTGATAATGTGAATTATCATCAAAATGGTAAATCTCAGATGACAACTATGACAAAATCAATATTACTTACCGTATTTGCTTTAATTAAATTCAATCATTTACCTCAGCCTTTTTTTTAATTTCTAAAATTTAGAGTTAATAATGGATACAAGTGATTATGAAAAGACGTTAATTGCGCTTGAAGAAGCGTTAGCAACAGTTACAACAACAACAAAATTATTATCAACTGGATGTCCTAATGTAATATGCACCGCATTACCCACTCATTGGCGTAGCAATAAATCATTACCGTTACCGTTTACTGTATTTGCACTAGGACCGGTTCCGGATGGAACACTTGTTACAGTTGCAGCCGGAAATGAAGAAAATTGCTGTGCTGATCTACGAAATAATCGTACTCAAATGAATGGACAAATTGCTCGTTTTAATGATCTGAGATTTGTTGGTAAAAGTGGGCGAGGTAATATTTTTCAACTTTTCTTCTTCTTTTAAATAAAGGACAAATTTAAAAAAATGAACGCTTTTTGATTATCTTTTAAGACAAAGAAATTCTTGGGCACAAAATGAGTAATAATTGCTAAAATACTTTTTTTTTACATTATGGAAGTGAATAATTTCAATTTTAGGAAGTAGTAATTTGTTTCGAAAAAATTATTTTCCCACAAAGTTTAAAATCAAATTCAGGACAGAACTGGAATGTTCATGTAGTAAAGTAAAACTGAAAAAGTATGATTATAAGTTAGCATACTTTCTTATTTGCCAACCAACTAATTTTAGATCCATTCATAACTTTGATATAATTCCTTTCATACTTGCTAAAATATTAAGTTTCAACTCATTCATCTATTAAAGGACTAAATTTAATTCTTTCATATGTATTAGTTATTTTGCTAAACAATTTCATTTCATCGTATTGTTTCATTTACAATCCAAATTACTACAATACTTTCATATAACTGAAATGGTAATTTTCCTGGTTTACTTTTTAGTTTTTTATTATTTTCTCCCTTATTTGTTATTAGAATTAATAACTATGAAAATTTCAATTTCCGATTTACACTTTCCGGTAATTGGAGCATCCATAATTTAAACCATTAATAAAATTCAATGCATTTTTTAACATTTACGAATTTCCGTCGATTTAACAATCATATTATTAACCGTACCCAGTGAAGGGTTCGTACTGTTATTTTGGATTTTCTCTCCCTTTCTCTCTCTCTCTCTCTCTCTCTCTGATTGTTTTTCCTACAGATACGCAGAACTAATCATTTATTAATTAAGATTTGTTTTTATTAGAGTATAATTTCAACATTTTCCTGCATTTTTCAAACATAATTTTGTAGAAAAGGAATTAAAAATACGACAAAAGGAAAAAAGAAAAAAAGTTTCAGGAAAAAATTTTCACTTAACGATAACAATCGATACAAAACCGGCACAGATAGCAATCGTTGGTAAAGCAATCAAAGTTACCGTTGATGGCCCGCGGGATTCTCGAACAAATAAGCGTACGGGTGAAATTCCATTGTTTCTGCTCATTACCATAATCCTCTTTCTTTTTTTTCTTGTTCTCAAATTTAAAAAAATTAAATTAATTTCAAAAATTTTTATTGCGAAATTTCAATAATTGTAAATATGTTTTCTTTTTATTAAAACTAATAAATTATAAAGTTTCAGTTAGAATTAAATACAATTCTTTCTATCACATATACCAACCAATAAGATAAATAAATTTTACAAAAAAATATTTATAGCATTAACTCGTCGTACCAGTGTATCAATTTCATCAGATGATTGTCCAGTTACCAGCAAATTTCGTCGCCGGACTTCCACCACAAGTATTCCAAGGCCGATACCTACCTTGGTACCACCAATTCCTGTTTTTCCTTCTTTATTCAATCCATTTTCATTTATTCCAAATCCTCAGTTACCTGCACCAGTATCGTTGAACTTTTCTCATTCTCCTTTGCTCAATCCTACTACTACAGTTATTAGACAAGCTATTCCACCTGTTGTTACACCTTTACCGGCCGTTTTAACTCAAAGAACCCGACAATTACCTCAATCTGTGGAACAACCAATCGGAACAAGAACAAGACGAAAAGCAATGAAAATTTGGAAACCTTATGATATTAAGTCATGACATTAAAATTTAAAATGTAAAATTTTAACATTTTTCATCTCAGTGATATACATAAATGATGAATTTCTGATGAATATGTTTATTTACTCCGTAAGGTAACTTAACTCACTTAACTTTTAGAGTATGAAAGATAACTTTACTAAACTTTTCTTTCTTTCTTTTTGAGCTATTGGTTGGTTCGTTATGAAAGAAAAATTTTGTAATTAAATTTTAAGTATTAATAAAATCAAAAGTTTTCGGTGATCATTTTCGTAAATCTTTTTCATTAACGGAAGTGAGATAATGTGACATGTTTCATTGCTAATCAGTAATTGTACAGAAATAATTGTAAGGTTAATCACTTAGAAGAATTCACAATTGCAATCAGTTGATTAAATAATTATTAATTAAAAAAAATGGTAAGAAATATCTTCGACGAACTGTTCAATAATTGATGATAATATTAGGAGGAAAGGGGATGATATATTTGAATATTTATCAACGATTGATTGTATTAAATTCCTTTTATATACAAAAATTAATAATTATTGTACGGTATGAATTATTTGTTTTTGATATTTTTGCGGGTAATAAAAAAGTTAAAGTATCTGATATCTCTCTCTTTTTCTTCTTTTATTTCTCTACCTTTTTTTGTTATATGATAATTTATGAATAAAAATTGTTCAAAATTAACTGTCGTATGTTGTCGATGATATATCCATTCACTTCATATCTTAATTCATTATAATCAGATATTAAGTAACTATTTAATTTTTCAGTAAAAAAAGTTCTTGTTTTATGTGAAGAAAACAAGAAGTCTTCCTTCTTTTATTATTACAATTATAATTATTAATTAAATATTGATTCTTTATATATAGAATTTAGCAATTTAATTGTGATATTATTTATCGTTATTGATATTTTATGATCATTGCATATTACTTTTTCATTTCTTTACTCATTAATCTTTTTATCAATTCTTACTAATACTATTAATTAATTTTTATTTCATTTGGTTGAATTTAATTAGTCGTAGTTTGTTTAAAACTTTTAAACCAAATATTTGTAACATAAAGATATAATAATTCATTGAATATTAGTTATATATCATTACTTCTTATTTGCTCCGACATGAATAAATATAGTTCATAAATTTATTCAGATCGGAAAAATGGAATCAAGTGATATGGAATTGCATTTTGTTTGTATATTCAATTTTATTTAAATAAAAATATAATCCAAGAAAGAGGGAGAAGGAGAACGGAAGAAAGAAAAGAGAATGATATTTAATTTAAAGGTAAATGTAATTTCAAAGGTTATGCATATACATATAGAGGGAAGAAATAAAGATCAATGATGCATTTTGTTTGTGATATGTGATGCTACTACTTTGATAACAATCTCCGTGTCTGTCCTCATTTGTTCAACAGATTGTTATTGGCTGATAAAAACCGGTCAGTCCTATTCATCATCATCACCATCATCATCATCATTATAATTATTGTCATCCTCGACATGAACAATATTTGACATACTACTGTCATTTGTTGCACCTATCTTAACCGACTCATAATCATTATCATTATTATCATCCACAACAACAATAATTTTTCGACCGTTGTTACATGTAATACTCTTCTTTGGGCGAAACTTATCACTCCTACAGATCTATGTTTCGGTAAAAACGATTACAAGATCGAGAAAATAAAAAAGAAAGGTACCACAGTATAACATTAACCATCTTTTTCTTCCTTTTTTTCAATCAACCATTCCGCAAATAATTTCATCTGATCAAAGAGATTTCTACATATTTTGTGAATTAAATAATTTCTTGATTTATTAAATCTTTGAAATTTTTTATCACGTCCGTAATCCATTTAAATATCAGACAAATTAATTGCAATCAGCAATTTCATGAAATACTAACTAATAAAATATACAAAAACTATGAAATGGAAAGCAAATAAGGAAAACTGGCTGTGAGTGATATGCGACTTCCACTCTCCCGATTTGATCTTAAATTGTAAAAACTTAATAGTTCAAATGAAACTAAGAAGTGTAATTAACTAAGAAACATGTTGGTTATTATCGTAATTGAGAGATATTTATAATCCAAACCAAGAATATGAGTTGATCACATAATCATCAACAATTCTCTGATTTCTGAGTGATGTTCATCTATGTTGGTAAGATCAAGATGTTGAACAAAAAGGAACATGACAAACGAACGCTATCATGAATGATACGAGGAATCGATAAAGTGAACACAGAAACAGAAGATACTTCTGTCCTTTCTGTGAAGAGTTCTCGCTAGAATTCCAGGAAAAGTAAGAATAAAATGATCCTTAAACTTCGTTACCCTCTCTTTTCCTTCATTTGAAATGTCTTGCAATCCTAACGTTTAATATCTTATCTGTGAAAGACAAGCGATAGTAAAGTAAAAAACATCATAATCATCAACGAGCTTTATGCGGAAACTTTCAAAACCAGAACATTAATTGATCATTGCTGCTTTCATATGGATGCAGTATTATGAATGGTAACAAGTACACAATTTTGTATAACAGAAAATAATGTCAGTAAACAAACTGCTAAAACAACAAACCAAAAGAAACATCTGTTAAAACGATGTTAAAACGGTTAAAATCTGTTAAAACATAGATAACTTGTTATGACATAATATCATCAACTTATTAAGGACGAAGTTGTCTCTCAATAAGTAAAGTGTATTCACAATTTTAACTGAATAAAATATGCAATGACAATAGATTAACAACATCTAATCACAACATTAATAAAAGAGTGAAGTAAGAATCAGTAAGAATAAGAATTAAGCTCAGTTAATAGAAAACTTTTACCGACTATAACAGACAAGTACGCAACCTCAAATATCTCTGACCATGGATTTTATGGAAAATCCCACACAGAATTGCGACGCTATTATTATTGCTTATTATACCATCTGACACGCTTAGCGTCTTCATATCCTAGCTTTACAACGAACTTGGAAATAATGTACCTATTGATACAGCCAACCAACAATAACCATAACAGTCTGAAAAAATGTCCACAAAAAATGTTTTTAGACAAGCCCTAAAAATGAATTCCTAAACAATTCCTCGAACAATTCCTATACCGGTAGCTCTCACTAATTAAATATAACACTAATTCAAAAAAACCCACCAGTTTGATGATAAAAAGAACGGATCAAAACTCAATATAGTGATCGACTTGTCAAGAATTCAGAATTATATAATTAGCGGAGCAAATACGCAAATAATTGTAATAAAAACAAGACGGCTGGGCTTCCAACGTAATGATGCTGTACCAAAATTTCACATTACTGTATGTGGAAGACTAATGGCTTATCATAATATTTGGACTACTATTATTCCCATCAGCAGAAATATACTCAGACTGTTTTACACCTTACGAGAACGATGACAACCTTACGTTAATATATCATAGGTAAATACAAAAAAGACAAAAGAAGAGTCGGTGTCGAATTGGCTAAATATTTGAAATCTTACCTGAAAATTTTTCGTATTACACAGCCAATTAAAACTATTCGCACCTTAAAAATACTGCTATGTAGATGTTTCCAAATCCAAATTTTCCCCCTCAAAGGAAATCGAAAGCACTAAATGGGAGAATGAGTACCCATAGATCAGTAATTATGATACTCATGATTGAAATATTTTTATGAATTAAACCATTAAAATAACAGTCCTTGATAAAAGCGTCCGGGAAGAAAGGAGGAAGGAGAAAAAATAAGGAAATAAAATTGGGATAAAAAGAAATGACCTAGATTCCACTACAATCGGAAAATTTTTATCAATAGAACTTTTAAAATTATTAAGATTACAATGTCGACATTAAACTTCAAAACATGACAAATTCAGAAAATTTTATACAATTATAGATAACAAATACGCAATTTAGAATTCCATTTCAAGCTTCAAATTAATTGCGACAAAACAAGCGTTCAACTCATTATAATAAATGTTTTAAGCTTTCATCCGTAATAATACCGATTTTTAGTTCCTAATACATTCAGAATAAAGCCTTCATTCAGAAGTCAGAGAAAGAGAGCATGAAATATGTCGGTACGTATAAATCCATCAGCATGTATTTAGCAAATTAAAATTACAACCTGTCATATACAATACTTAACTTTCTTTAGATACAACTTAAAAAAAAAAGTTAATAAAGAAAGATATCTAAACCAATTATCTTACAATATAAATGTAAATTTTCAACTTAACCTTAAATAGTCAATGCTTTCACGGTGTATTGGTTGAAACAATTTCAGTGCTCGGAGAGCTCAATGATACGGATGCCGCAGATAGCGTCCCGTCAACGATATTTTCCATATGAAGAGGCGAGTCGCTTGAAAAAATGAAAAAATGTTTGGTTTAGCATTTCTTTTACTAATGCCATACTTAAATCATAGGCGAAATCCACACTGACAGTGAAATATAGTATGTTTTAAACTAGGTTTTTTTGAAAGAAATCGGAAATAAAGAAATCAAAATGGAGAAAAAGAATAAACACATATTCACTAACACTAACAAGAATAAATTTTTAACTGTTTAAGATAATTTCCGAATTTCCTACGACTTTTTATCAAATCAATAGCTTACCTATGATCGTGATCATTTCGACTTCCAGAGGAACTTGAACTAATGCGTGGAATGCGACGGGATGAATTTAAATTTCGCGCTTTCAGCTTGTTTTCATGCGAAACGATGGAAGGCTGATTCGCAGGTGGCACCCAAATCTAAAATGCAAATATCATCTTAGAAAAAAGTATCGAGAATAATTTGTAGTGTAGGAATTCTTCTGTAAGATCGATTACATTGGGATATAGATTAATCCAAAACGCGACGAAACCACTATATAAGTTATTATCTGCAACTGACAGAGTAGATTTGTAAGGATCTACTCTATTAGTTGCATTTACATCGTATTTATGACAGCAGCGAAAGATTTAAGATTTAGCTTACCTGCACTTGCTTGAGAGGTTGGCTGGAATAAGTAGGCAACATATATGCCGGCTGTCCAAACGTCAGCTTTACACCTGCGGATTTGGTAATTTCTGCAATATGGTCGGGAACTGGCGGTCGTATGTTCACCTGAATCCTGAAATAGATGTGTCAAATTTGTTTTAATGGACCAAACTACCATCGAATTTGTATTAACTGAGAATTTCAGTCCGGGTTCGTGAATTTGAATTTGTCTCTGAGATTAACTGAATCTGCACCACAAAACTCTCTCGGGTAAACCAAGACGCGGCTTTTGACGCCATTCATTTACATTGTAAAAGTCTAGCTCGAAAATTGTCACGCTCTCTACGCTAGAAATTATTTATTAGTTCCGACTGCATTCCGCTCTGATAATTTCTTCATTAAATTCGTTTTCAGTATTCAGTTATTGCTAAAAACTACAAAATGTTCAGTAGCATACCCAATCTCAGATGTAACAGTGCCAAAATACTGCTGCGATATAATAGTGCGTGGATCACATGAAACAGTGCAATTAGCTGCACTGTACGCGACGTAAGATTCCGACTGCATCGGTCGACGATGTGTGCGAATCATCGGTTTGTGACCGCCATATGGACCGGTTAGTGCATGACGAACCTTTAGGTAAATTAGTAAAATTTATACCAAAATATGAATATGAAAGGGCCAATATTTGAGCAATATAATTTTTCAAATGGCAAAAAACCGATAGAAATAAAGAAATGTGGAAATACTTTAATTTCCTTACCTCCCAACATTGCAGACAAAAGTACTTGAAACAGCTCTTTTCGCGGCAGAAATATGGACCTTGAACACATTCGCATTGCGAGCATTTGACATCCTCCAGAAATGGATCAATCTGTACTTTTTTAGTGAATTTCGAGGTATGAATTTCAAGGTAACCGGACTCAATCGCACGGAAGTAAGCTGACTGTGTCGAAAACGTGACTCGTCCACTACCTATGTAAGCATAATAAGAGTACACATGCAACTTTTCATATTTACTGCATTCTTCATTGTGTTCTTTTTTACATTTTGCAGAACTTCTAATTTATTGATAAGCTTATTCTTACCTTTCCATTTCATACTTTCTGACATATTCAATTCATTTCTTCACGATGAATTTGTGAGAATATATACGACTTTGCGGAGATGCTTGCGAACACCATTAGTACAAAAATTCAAGATTGACGTATCATGACACATATTTCTAAAATTCTGAATGACTTACCTATTGGATACTTTTGACGATCTGTATCGATTCCAACAAAAAGCACATCACCATAAACATCTCTCATGATCGAAAATAAAACCTTAAAAAAACCAATAAAATAGAAGTTGAAATATGAGAAGTAACTGAATGCTTAGTAATAGCTAAACAGTATAAGAAACACGCTCTATTTCCTACCATGATACGATTTTGCTAAAGAGTTTACCTGCGCCGTAATCATGCCATGCAAAGCTCCAACGAACACTGTTTTCTTGGGTTCCAAAGGAATGTTTGGATTGAGAATATATGAGGCATCTGTTATTACCCATGGAATAACTTGTACCTGGTGTAAATGTCATACAGTATTTGAAAATTAGGAGTAATTAAGAAACTGATACAAGTAGATTTCTTCGCTAAAACTTCAGGATACCTGTCTTATTTCTAATCCATTGGCTCGTCGTGCTGTCAATTTGAAATACCATTCACCAGCTGTCCCAAACTCCTGAGAGCAATCTTGCAACAGTTTCTTCACCGCCAGATCATTTTCGAAATTCATATATACGTAACCGGTAATTTTAGTTCTTCGTGGATTTATGCGTGCATGACGTGACTCTTTGCTAGGCCATTCTACCCGACATGAGCCATATTTCGAAAATGACTGAAAGAATTTTTGAGAAATCAGAAAATTTCAGCAAATGTATTAAGAAGACATGTACATGGTTTCTGCCAAGAATTCTTACAGTAATATTATTTGTTAAACTTTTAATTGCTTTGTTAGGCTATCGCGTGGCACTATTTTTCTGTTTCACTTGGAGCTTCCAAGACAAAGATCCTATCCGCTTTTTATGACCATCTGATGAAGTTTTAACAAGATAAAAGTGATCACCTTATGCGAGAATGATGTGGATTCGAGTTTGTGACCAAAAACAAAAAGTTGATAGATTGAATTCCAAATAGGATAGCGACTGTACTACACATCAAGAATACTTACGTCAAGAAGCGCAGGTTCTGTAATATCCCACGGAACACCACCAATGAAAACTTTACTGGAGAACACCGGATTACAGTAATTACGAGGTGGTAATTCGCCTTTCCAGTAGCAAGGCTTCTCACGTCGCATTTCGAAATTGATACTTCTTTCAGTTATCTGTGGCCGTGTCACGGATGCTGTCGTCATCTTAATTTGTTGTTATGAATTCACTTTATTTTAATCGAATGCAAGTGAACATTCAGATTTGTCAAATAAATTCCAGCAAAAATTTTTTGATCTTTTGTGACATCCTTATTTTATCTTGTGCAAGATTTCTTTGTATTCAGATTTTTGCATGTATTAAAGAGCCTTACTTTCATTCACAACGTATAGATTTACATTAGAAGCAATTTTAAAAATTACGTTTAACTGCGTGTTCACTATTAATAACCTCTTCTTAGCAGTAACATAGAAAATAAGAATACTTTCTATCTGGAACCTACCATTGTACTCTCTGGGGATGAATCAAATCATAAATTGATCGTCATATGTTAATAGTGATAAATAATGGTGAATGTCAACCTGCACATAAGTTGGTGGATATCCATTCTGTAGCATGTGTGCCACAATTTGATGACAGTATTGCTGATACTCATTGGCTCCAGTCATAATTGCTTGCCATGATTTCTGTATCGGCTGAGTACCAATGATCATCGGATCCAATGGCTATAAAATCGATAATCTTTCTAAAATATTATACTCATATTTTTCTCTTCCTTCGAAGTCATCCAATTTTGAAAGGAAGAACTATTCTTCCCATTGATACTAGTAAAATCAAGCTTTCAAAATTTGATGACATCCCTGGGGACTCATGCCAGTGACTGCATAGTTATCCATAGAAAAAGCAAAATCATTAACGATAACGTGATTCATACCAATTATCAAACATTAAGCTTTATTTTTAAAAACTTAACTCAGTCTCCTTGTAGCATTTACTAACCTTTATTGGTCCTTTGCTGTCATTATTGTTCTTTGCTTGATAATCTAAATTCCCACTTTTTTTTGTTGCATCATTACTAATGATGGTTTTTGCAACTATGTCAGTAGTAATTGCACCAGTGTATATCTTACGAATATTTCTACCGCCTGCCTTGCTGTTAGTACGACAGTTGTAATTCGTGTTCGATATATTATTATGATTTTGATCGGTAAGACTGAGAGTATTCACTTCGCTTCCATCTGTAAAAGAAACACACCATTTTATGAATACATCATCATAGTATACCGCGAAATAGTTATTTGCCCAAGCACGTTTCTAGAGCCTTTTTTGCTATCACGGAAGAACTGTGACGTAAGAGTCATTAGTTCATCTGAATGCTTCAGAAAATCTAAGTATAATCTTAATCTAAGAAAGCATAATCTAAGAAATCTAAGAAAATCTAAGAATAATCTAAGAAAGCAGTAAAAAAACTTGGGAACATCTAAAGCAGGCTTTCCAGCCCCCGAAAATTCCCTGCCTACCTTTTTTAGACGTAATAATCTTTGCAGCAACAGCAACTGAAGTTTTGCTTGTCGTTGCTTTCTCTTCTGGAACCTTTACTTTATTCTGATCCTTCACGTGCAATTTGTCCATTATTCCAAAAAGAATATAATTAAGTCTTTCCTACTACGCAGAAATAGGACAAAGACATAAAATGCGCTATTCAGTACATATAGTAAACTAAAAACAGCTTCAAAATTTTAAATAAAATTTTGAACAATATGATTCAAAGAACTTTAAGCAAGGTCTAAAACTTTTAAATTAACACCAAGTTTTAAAACTTCCAGACATGTGCTTTAACTTTAAATAGTGATTTCTTACAAATAGTATTCCGAATTCCTTAAACAATCCAAACAAAATTTGAAATATTCCAATCGTTTAAATTTATTACTATTTTGTTGATATATTAACATAAAGACAAAAACGGCACATTAGTCAATGGAGGCACTGTTAACTATCAAACCATTATGTTTAGTCCTTACAAGATCGATAATGATTAGTACACTCTGACAAAACAAAGTACCTTAACCATCCATATTATTATCCAAGTCTATTTTAGAAGTAGATTAAGGGCAGTTTCATGCGTTTTTGCTTCCACTTTCCAATGCTACTTCGACATAATTTAAGATCAAACACATGGATTGATAATTTAATGAAAATATTCTTATTTTTTACGAACTACACATACTCATACATAAATTAAGATTTCGCAAGAAAATCTACAAGTTTTCTAAAAGATTAAGATCTTCTAATAGGGAGTAAAATCGGCTCTTTTTTCTACAATGAAGACTGATAAGGTGTTTTACCAATTTTAGATTCCCCAGGATTTTAAAATATTTCAAAAAAAAGAAATTTCATGTTTTTCAAGTGCCCAGTAAATCTCGTAACTTTCGAATCATTTTATCCAAGCAAATGGTTGGTAGAAATGTTCGAAAATTTGCTGCGATTTCGATGCCTAAAATTTGAAATCAGAGACTTTCAAATCCTCCAACTTGAAATTTCATTTAAACTTAAAATATCTCTTACGCATTCCATTGACCAATCAATTTTAGTCTGCTGAAAATTATCCTTCAGTGAATGGATTTCTTTGATTCGATTTCCCAACCTATCGGTTACTTTGTTCTCATCATTTACCTCTAATTAAATATAACTAATTCAAATTGAAATTAAAATTTTAACTGAAAAAAAAAAAAAAGAGTACAACCAAAAATCAACCGGGAAGAGTAGGACAGCTTTGCATGTTGCTACTGCCACTGCTCACTCAAAACTGTACTATGGTCAGTTACGTGCTCAAGTCCATCCCATCCTCTCTCTTTACTCAGAAATGGCAATTATCACGTAGCCCAATCCATTCCAAAAGCAGCTATGATTCCACAAAAAGTAGTCACAAAATGTAATCTCAATATCTCTAATCGTGCTGCGGACTTGCAACTTTTGGCCTTCGATTCGAATTGAAATCAAGTTCCCTTTTTTAGAAATTAACGCGATGCTTGAAATTCGTAATTTAAGATTCTAAACATGAATTAGATCCTCAATTAGAATTTGAAATATGTTTAATGCGAAAATTTCGAAATGCTTCAAACTTTATTCGATATAATATAGTTTGAAAGGTATGATCAAGATCGTATGAAAATTATTTCATCATACGGATACATATACAATCGAAAAGCAAACAGTATGTCAAAAAGAACAGCATCTAAAAATCCGAAAACTGGAAATGTATTCACTAAAAAGGTAATAATTTAGTTAAAAATTTCCTGGCCTGAGATTGGAATGAAATAAATCCTAGAAGTTTAAATTGATTCGCTTCTGGAATTCATGGACTATCTTGGAATTTGAGGACAAGATTCTTAACGAATTCTGCCCTTTTCTTACGTCCTTCCCTTCATAAAAGTTACATATGATCGCAGGAAAACTTCAATCAAAATAAACAATCTCTTTAAGTATAAAAACTAGCAGTTGCAAAGTTCAAAAAATTCATTCCTAAATATCTAAACTCCCTTCTTTTGCTGTCACAAAAATAGCTGGGACAAATAACACCCGAATTCCTCATAATCTTGTCTTTTTGTTTTCATTTTATCAGTTAAAATATTGAAAGGAAGAAAAAAAACTCCAAAATTATAATTGGCAACGCCACTTAATTCTTGTACACAGCATTAGAAACTATATATTTCTCCTTTTTTACCACATATAGGACTGATTTAATATTCCCGGAAACAAATGAAATAAAAACACAGACTGTAGACAAACGATCTATCCTTTTTTCTTCTTTTTTTAACCCACTTCTTTAGGACAACATAATGGGTGTTAAGATATCGTGCGCGCCACCAAATTGCGACATGAACCTTGGTGAAAACCACCAGAAGTCATCTGAGGGATTGTTCGACCAGCGCTATGCATTATCAGATTGATTGAATTTAGTTCCTAAACAGAGAGTATATTTTCAATTTGACAATATTTGCCAAATTTTGCTTTTTTATCTAATTATCTCTCATATCCTGAAAGAAGTCAATAACTATCTTTAGTTAAACTGTTAACAGTAGGAAAGTATCTACTCAATCATTAACTTAAGAAAAATCCGTGAGTAGATAAAAAGAGAGGAACCTACTTATTAAGCAAGTTCTTCTCTTCATAAAAGAAGTAACCAGGTATGACTTTAAATAGTCAAGATCATTGGCCTAATTCAAAAAATAATCTTTTTCAATATGGCTGCTCTTCGTCTTCTTGTCTATTGCAATAAAATATGAATATCTAATAACATATGCATAAATTCACCAACCTTGTGATTTTGCTTAAAAGTCTCTTTCATGTTTACTTGCAGTCAATTATTAATATTTTATAACAAACAAAATGTTAACTTTAACACTGAAAAAATTTTTCGAACTTACTTTGACTGGTGTCTTATCAAAGATATATCTATATGGTCGCGACGGTGAGGATGGCAATGAAGAAGGCATTGGTGTAACAGTAATGCGATCAGATACGCTTCTCTGAGGTGATAAGCGATTACACTGAACCACTGGAATTGATAACAAAGAAACACCACTCTATAATAAAACCGGCATTATGCACTGAATTTTATCTAGTTACACTTTTTTAATTCACTTCAGATTATGTTAAAATTTATATATATAAACCTAAGCAGTATGTTATATCTCAAAAAACTTAGTAGATCAGTTAATGAATGCGCAACCTCTGTAAATCCTGGCTGTAATTTCTGCACAAACGATTTTACACGAGCAATGAAGACATGATTGTAATATTTGATGAGATCAATGTATTCCACGTTTTGATGTTCTGGTGTTGCTGTACCACTGCCTGTCACTACTCCCGAAACTGACGATTCAGAACGGAATTTGTCACCCGATGCAGAACCAACAGAGTCATGGGAAGCACCATCATCCAAAATAATCGGAGGTGAACTAAATTTTTTTTTTATTAATATAAAAATCCATTAAAATTTACAAATTTAGTTCGAAGAAATGCTAAACTCCTCTAAAAGTGCTTTTGAAATGCTAAATTCCTGTAAGAATGCTCTTATTTTACTGCATAGATAAAAAATTCATTTTGGTAGAAAATTTTAGAAAAGAAACTTCCTTATCCTACAAAAAAGAGACGATTAAAATATTTCATAAATGCTAAAATTTATCAAATCATATATGGTGTCTAGAAGCTTACGAAGTGTTCTCCACCATAACTCGTCGATATACACGTGAAGCAGCTTGCGGTTGATGGCGATAATGGTACATAATGTCGTGGAAAGAAATATTTTGCTGACCAATTTTTGCTACTACATATAAACAACACATTAGATTCTGATCCAAATGCCTTCCAGCCATAAGAGATGTTTCAGTTCTCAAAACATGCTCAAACAAAGTCCAAGCTCGCTGGCGACCTTTTTCATCAAGACGTACTCGTTCACAGAGATCGCGCAAGCGAACTGCTGCCAAATAATATACCTAAACACGGTAGTGTTAGGATTATAAACGAAGAAATATAAAAGAATCTTAAATTAAATTAAAAAAATATTCACTGTTAACTCAATAAGGATAGAACTAATGTTTCCTCTTTTTTTATTTTTCTACTTTCTGACAATGGCATCACCAAGTTTTAAACAACAAGTTTCAAAAGCAAACAAACGCGCCTTGCGGAAAAATAATAACGTCGCAAACGATGGTGATGAACTATCAGCATCCGCAGCTCGCCGTTTTGCAGCAATATATGATGATGAGTCATCATCATCAAATTCAAGTCGGCGTTTCGCTGCTTAGAAAAACAAAATTATTTTACAAAATAAAATTAAACCACAAAAATAGAAAATATATGAGCCACAAAAATAAAAAATAATCTATGAATTCTACCTTGTGGTTTGATGGGTGACACGGTATAACGCTGTGAAAGAGATGGCTGCCTCATAGAATAACCCTCTACAGCTTCCAACGATACTGCCTGACTTGATGGCACTCCATCAGCTCGTCGTTGCAAACTAGGCCACAGTGGTGAATCTAAACTCCAAGCAAACTCTTCTAGCACACGTTCCTCAACCTGCAAACCAAGAATCAAAACGAGATGCAGAAGAATTTTCTGATTAATCAATGTTAAGAAAGAACGTCCGACTGTCAAATACTCGGAAGTTTCTCAAATAGTATACTGAGATATAAATGATACGGTACTTTATCGATTTCTATGCATTTTTTAAACGAGCTCTTTTTCAAGAAACCCACAAAAAAAGAAAACTGAACACTGATCTTCACAACATCAATTCAGGTGAAGTAATATGTAAGATTTGCTTACAGGATAAAAATGACCTATGACATCAGATTTTTTAGGAGCAACTCCAAACTATATAAAAGATATTTTTACATTTTGCATGAAAAAATGAAATTTTAATATATGATAATTATGGCAGAATGCGTACCTTATTGAGATGTTTAACCATTTCACGCGATAAAGAAGAATCCGCTCGGATAATCAGCTCAATAACTTTGTAAAAATGTATAGCCGATACTCGCATTATTTCCAGACTCCATGGGAATTCTCGTACACTTTCATACGTAAAAAGAACTAGTTGCAATGAACAGACGTATAACGAC